TCCGGATATAACGAACCAGTTTTAGTTCATTTTTCAAGTTTGTTATATCCGGACTCAACTGTAGTTCATTAGCTTTGTTAAGCTATGTTTTACAAAATGCAAGTTTAAGATTTTTCAATGTTAACACGCTATGCGGCAAAGTTGTCCAACTAATCAATTTATTCGATAACAGTTATTTCGGTAAAGAAAATGAACAATGTGAGTTTAGGTATACAAACTTTAATTTTAGTTTCAGCTTTAAGAACTAAAGATTGAGCTGTTTTATTGCAATGTCTGCTGTATAAGTTGGCCCTTTGAAACAAACAGCACTATTGTTCATAAAGCTAAGACTACGTATTTTAAGTTAAAATTAACTTCTGTATAAAACCACCAGAAATTGGAACTCTGATCTCATTAAATCTAAGTGGCTTTATCTGGAGTCATTGCCTTAGGAACCATTGGCTAGAAAATGAGAACTGAAGTCTGAAAACTAAAGCCAAACCGGGAGAGGTAGAAACCCTGCACACACACACGTCTTTTCTAATGAATTATCAAATCACCTCAAGGAACTTTTCTAATAGTTTGGTTGTAGGAAAATGTTACACTCAAATACAACTAGGTACTACATTTCCACCAGTTTCTATATAATATAGCAACTGTTATAAATACTATTATAATATCAAACACAAATCCATAATCTATAATAGGTACAATACCTTGTATTATTTTTATTATTGCATTTCTGTCACCAATCACCCACCACTGAACTCGTCAGTCTCATCTGTCAAAGAAGTTTTGCAGTAATCTAAATCCAAAACCGACATGCAGTGCAATGTATTTTAAAAGTATCATCGTCCAATTGTGTGCAAATGAAAGAGAGAGTATGATAGTTGAATGGCGGTGATTAATGAAACACTGTTTAATCACAAGTCCACCCATATGTTTCAAATGCTACGTTGCCACTATCATATTTAAAGCCAATATTTATTTGAAAATTTCCTTTGCTGCTTAAGGACACATTTTGAGTTCAGTAGGGCAGCTTCTTTGCTATTTAGCAATAAGTTTCCGAAAATTATAATTTCTCGTAGCTTTTTATCTGTTGCAAGACCACCCGTCATTTTCTCATGCATTTATGTGAAAGTATGACACTTACCCAACTCAAACTGACAGATATTAAACTCAGCACACTAAGTTTATTAACATGCGCATGCTTAATATCGGTTTCGCCGGTCAATCAAATACGTGTCCGAATATTTTTTACATTTCTGCTATTTTATATTGTAGTTATTATGAAATGCAACAGTAATGCGTTAATATCGTACTGTATGATAAGTACAGGCGACACATAAAAGTGGACGAGTCCTAAAGGCGATTTTTCCCGATTTTGGTAAATCAAGCTTTGTGAAATACGTCAAATATAACTGGGCAATAAATAATAAAATCAAACAATTTAGTTTCGAAACTTAATTCTATTAGAAACAATTAATAATACTAAGAACAGTAAAATAGAGAAGAATATTTGCAAAAAAATAATAGGATATAGCTAATAAAAATTAATATTTTACTGCTGCGCCCCATTAGCATTTAAAACTAGTTGCAGGCGTGTGGGCCTGGAACGAATTAAGGTGCTAGAGTATAGCTGATCCCAGGTCTCTTCAATTTTTCCCATAATTCATGGCAGTTTTGCGGCCTACATTTTTCTCTATGCATTTTCTTAGTTGTGTATCCCCACACATTCTCTATTGGATTTAAATCAGGGCTCCTCGAGCACCAGAGTAAATCGTTAATTTCATTTTCCAATAACCAATACTTCACTATTCTGGATTTATGAACAGGGCAGCTGAAAATTTTCTTACTCGACGAAGCGCAGTTATTTGTAAAGCAGCATTGCATACTGTAATGTTTGCAGCTTCCACAGCCGACAACAAAGGGTTTTCCTAAAGATATGCGATGATATTAGCGTCTTCTAAATATGTTGTTTTCTTCAGCAATCCCGTGCCTATCGCGCGCTTTCAGTTCCATGTTCTCTCCATTTCTTTGAAATTTTATCAATAGTGCTGTTGGGTTTTTCTAATTTCTCAGCTGCACTGCACTTGTTGACTATCCTTTCTCCATTAAAGTAATTATTTTAATTTTTCAATTTCATTTGCATGTGGCATTTTGATATAAAAATGTATTTGTTTATGTAAGGGAGATCGAGGTAGAAGGCAGATTTACATAACAACTATTTAATCGTTTACTTTTATGTGACGCCGACTGTACCTTGTATGAGACCCGATTTCCAACGGCAATAAAAAAGAAATGTGTATATTTTCCTGACTGCATTTCAACTTAATTCAAAATAAATTCCTGGGTTCCAGTCAATTTTATAGTTTATCATTTAAAATGTTACAAAAACGTGTCGGTGTTTTTCTCCACCATCATCAGTTTGTATGTATCGTTGTAGAAACAACGATACTTTAAATAAAACTTTAAAATAAAAAGAATATAGATAGGTTCTATATTGTTGAGGCGGATTCATTTTTTTACAAACTTCTTGTTGGGTAATAAATAATATATGTTAAAGAACCAACAATTAAATTCACTATTGAAAAAGAACATCACCAAATTTTTTTTCTCGATATACTAATTCAGAAAAATTTAGACAATTTCGAAACCTTGGTTTATAGAAAACCTACTCATACTAACCGATATTTGAATTTCGACTCAATACACCCGATATGGTGGTTAAAAAAGGTATCGTAAAAAGTCTATATGACAGAGCAAAATAATTTGTAATCAACCTAATTTTTCCAAAGAAAAACAATTTATAAAAGAAATTCTAAATTTCAATAATTATCCAAATTCTTTTATTGAAAAATGTTTTAACGAAATTGAATTCCCACGAACAAAACAAAATAAAAATAAACCTATTACGAACATTTCCATTCCATTTATTCCAGGACTTTCAGATCAAATTAAACGAGTAGGTAAAAATTTTCATATTAGAACTATCTTCAAAACTGAAAATACAATTAGAAGTAAAATTTCAGTAACAAAACCTTATGACATAATTGAATACAAAAAATGTAATTTATAAAATTCCTTGCGAATGTAATAAATTTTATATAGGAGAAATCTCAAGACCATTACACAAAACACTCAAAGAACACCAATCATACATAAAAAAATAGAGAATATCATAAATCACACATTTGTCTACATGCATTTGATAATTGCCATAAAATTCAATGGAATAATTCCACAATTTTAACAAAAGAACAATC